TAAGGTGTAAAGTTACATAGACAAGAACCACTAGAGGAGGATTATAAGGATAGGGCCTTCTGACTTGCACTTCCTTCCTTGATCATATTACTTTCAACAAAGGTATAAACAGTAAGATTCAGTAAAATGATAGAAATCCCACTTGGATAGAGGAAGGGGTTGAAAGTGGAACCAGTAAAGCTTTGGCAGTTAAGCCATTGAAGATAGCTTTTGAGGGATATGGAGGGATGGTGACAGAGAAGGAGACATTTCACGAAGAGGCAGCAACATGAACAAAGAAACAGAAGTGAGAAGGTCTTCCATCAAGCAAACACTGAGACCTAGATCCAGCATCACTGGGAATCAGGGAGGGTGGAGTCCATCCAGGATTGTGTGGAGAGGTCTACAAGCCAAAGCACTGTGATAAACTGCATATGTTGACATTTATTCACATGCTTTCTGGGTGACTATATTATATTTTGCTTCTATTTTTACACACCAAGCCCTTTATTTTGAGGGAAATTAAGGATTCAAAAGATGGGAAAAAACACACACACACAAAACACCCAATTGTGTTTCCCATAGAACCTAATTTAAAATAGAGTATCATGTTGTCTGGAAGCTCTATTGAAACCTGTCCACCATGGGTGACTCTGCAGGTATTTGAAATACCGGTAGCATAACTTCCAGAATCATAGCAACACGCAAGCCACCACAGTACAACAAAGTGACAGACAAGTGGTAGAAATAATGAAGTATTTTAAATGAAATTTCTGTTTTTTTAATATAAAAAAACTTTTTTTTTTTCTTTAGCCAAAACATATTGCTCACTTTTGGGAGCTGGGTGGAGGAACGTCTTTATTGGACTTAATAACCATCCCAATAACAAGTGACACTTTACGGTAAGTAAGCCAGCTCCTGGGATTGTAGTAAGTACACAGTAGTGTCCACAGGATGAATGAGTAAGCTTTTGTGAATCAGAATTGAGAAGGCAGTTTTATGTTGCTGAAGGTTTATACCCACTTACTTCCTTTCTATGTGCTTGAACTGTAAAGCTTTCAAAGAGGTTTTAAAAGGACCAAGGTTCTGGTCTATGCTCAGATGAGATCACTGTTGTTCCAACTAATAACATGTTTTGTAAGCCTGCAAATCACAACAAAAATATGTCAAAAAACACTTGAATATTGAATTTTTTGGCAAAAAAGCGATTTGAAGCACATACCCCTTTCCACTATCCATCTCTGTGTGAGCTAATCAAGTTTTTGCTTCAGCTGGGCATATAAATCTACCTTAGAATTTGATCCTAATTAGTGCTGTTAGAGACTCATCCAGGGGAAGGAGGACTCTTATGTTGAGGAAGGGAAAGTCTTGCTATTGCTGACTTTAACAAAATTCTTAACAAAATAAGACCTCAGAAAAAGCCTCCAAACCCTTGGGTGGTGTTTTCCTGACAGTGACTCCCACATGTGGAAAATTGTGACATTTCTCAGCAGTGTTCCTGGGAACCCGCCATAGCCAAGGAAAACAAAGATGTCTAAATCGGAAATATTTTAGTCTCATTAGAGTTTTATACAAACTTGGACCAAATACAAAGGCCTCAGCAATTATGTGTCAAACTTAAGTCATTAAAAGCCTTAGAGTATCAAATTAGTTCATGTTAACAATAGTTGTTTTTCCATAACTAGCTGAATGCAGGTAATATTGGCTTTATTCATCCAGTGACATTTTTCCTACTAAAGAAATATAATTCACTGACCTTTATGTATGATAAAAGCAGCGTATACTCCTCAGAAAATTAGTAAAAGGTTCAAAGAAAGTAACCAGTGATCACATAAAAATGAGCTCTATTAACTTGCCATGATTTCTTTCAATCTTTTTGGTGTTTATCAATATACTTTGTACAAACTTGAGGTATATTATACTCACATTGGAGTCCTGGTGTGGCATTGTAGGATAAGTGCTGGGCTGCTAACTGGAAGTTCAGCATGTGAGACCCACCAGCTGCTCCTCAGAAACCCTGTACAGGATTGCTATGGGTTGGAACCAACTTGACAGCACTTAACAACAACAACATGTACACATTCAGATCTTTATACTTATAACTCAAACCTTTTTCCCATTTCCCTAAGCCATTATTTTTCAGAAACTTGGAACTTTACAGCTATATATAGTTTTTCATTTGTCCCCCTTTTGTTGTTGTCATCGAGTGCGATTGAGTCGGTTCTGACACAAAGCAACCCAGTATAGGAATTCCGAGGAGTGACCAGTGAGCTTGAAACGCTGACCTTGTGGTTCAAACTGACTTTGCAGTTCAGCACATTAACCCACACTGCCCCACTAGTGAGATGACAAATACAAGGGGGCTTCAAAAAGTTAGTACACAAATTACATTATCGTTTAATTCCATTTTTTCCACAAATTTTTTGAAGCCCCTTGTAAGCTAGTCCATGATGGTGTAGCTGAGAAGAGATGGTGAGGGCAGGAGGAACTGCCGTTTACTCTGCCCAGAGGCAGGAAGAAGTGAAAACACAGGCCCAGTTCTTTCGGGGTGCTTCCTGGCTCTAACTTGTTAGATCATCTGGTTACAGTCTCTCACTCTTCTTTTTAGTTCCTACAGTCCTGGTGTGGTACTATAAGATAAGCACTGATGTGTGAGCCACGAGGTCAGCAGTTTAAACTCACCAGTTATTGTTAAGTGCCACTGGTTGGTTCCGACCCTTAGCGACCTTGTACAGGGTTTCCAAGAAGCAGCTGGTAAGTTTGAACCACCGACTTTGTGGTTCAAAGTGACTTTGCAGTCCAGCGCATTAACCCACAGCACCACACCAAGCTTACCAGTTGTTGTTGTTGTTAAGTGCTGTGGAGTTGATTCCGACCCATAGTGATTCTGTACAGGGTTTCCAGGACTGTAAATCTTCATGGGAGCAGAAAGCCTCGTCTTTTCTCCCGTGGAGCAGCTGGTAGTTTCGAACTGCTGGCCTTATGGTTCACAGCCTGATTAGTAACCACTATGCTACTAGTATTTCCTCAGAAACATTATACAGGGTCGCTGAGTCAGCAATAACTCGAATACACAAAAACAAAAGCAACTGAGTATTTGGTTCTGCAGGGCTTGTAGAAATTCTGGTTTCTTCAGGAATCCAAGTCTCTCAAGAGCTTTAATATTTCACTCTGTGGAATCTTGGTCTTCCTTTCCCAGGACTAGGGCTGCTGGGGCCTATCTTTAGGGAGAGGAGAGGCCATGATTCCCAAGAACAGAGGGAGAGGAAATATAGAACATGGATCCAATGTAGGTTGCTGGATAGCTAACGAATTCATGGAAAACATTTCACCCTTAATATAGTTAACTGGGATTATTTTGATACATAATTTCCTTGTGTTGGACAAAGCCCAGTAACTTGAGAAAATAATATTGTCAAACACTGTTAGATAATGTTTATCTTTAAAATAGTTAGAGAATCTCAACATCTATTATTTCTACAGACCTTAGATAATATGTAGTAGAATGTTTCTTCTGATCTCATATCCTGTTTTTAGAATTTATCTTAAAAAATATTTTTTTTAAGTTGCAATGAATATGAAAAGCAACTTCTTATAGCTAGAGAACATTATGCTGAGCAAAATAAGTCAATCACAAAAGTACAAATAATGATATAATCTCACCGTTATAAAATGACAAGAACATCTGTATATCCAGAGAACACTGTTCATTGGTGGTTACCAAGGGTAGGAATGGGGGTTGGTGGCGATTCATTCTAGAGAGTAGTAGCTTTTTTATAATTTATGATGATGTGAAAATTATCAGAAGTGTGCACAGTTTAATCAGGTTAGCCCACATCCCTGGGTTGTACACATGCACACACACAAAGATGTTTTGGTAAACGTCATATTATATATAATTTTGAACAACAAAAAAGAACCAAACCCATACCCACAAATACATAAGGGTGTGACAGAGGATTTGATTGCCTTTGCTGCAAACACATCTACGAATGTGCTAGAGCATATAGTGGGGAAAGTAATGAAAATTTGTTAGATAGTATCAAACATCTTAAAGCAATGAGTTGCTGGGCCAGGACCATAGTTTCAGGGGACACCATGGTCAATTGGCATAAAATAGTCCACACAGACAGTGTTCTACATCCTACTTTGGTGATAGCATCTAGGATCTTAAAAGCTCATAAACAGCCATCTAAGGTGCAACTATTCATCTTTTCATGTGCGAAGAAAAAAGAGAGGTGAAAATTGAAGATGCTTGGAATCATTAGAATACATGAGCATCAGTCTCTACAATGCTGAAACCAGAAGAATTAAATGGTGGCCAGCTACCTCTACCAACTGCTCTGAAAGGGATATGTTAGAAGGTAGAGTGGGAGACAGTGTGGAACAAAACTCAAAACTCTTAAAAGGAAAAAATAAGAAAAAGACCAGTTTACTGGTCAGAAAGAGACTGTGGAACCCATCACTAGAGCTTTCGATCACCCTTCAGGTCTGGAATGCAGTTCACCCTCATGGCCCAATTTTCAGCCAAGTGGTAGACAGGTATTTAGAGGGGACAATAATAGTAAGGTATGCTCACCATGGAATGGTCAAACATTCAAGATCAAAAGGGCAGTGTTTACCTAAGGACAGAGTTGACAAGGCATGGGAAGGAGAGTGGAATGGAAATAAGAACCGCAGGGAATAAGTGGAATCGCTGTTTTACTTGGGGGTGAGGAGGGGAGGATTACAAACACTGAAACAAAGCATATGGATTTGTTCAGTGTAAATCTGAAGATCTTCTCTATAAAGATTCGCTCAATTCACAATAAAAAGGTTTCAAAACAAAGAAAGAAGCAAATCCATTACTGTAGAGTTGAATTCTGTTTCATAGCAAACCTGTAGGACAGAGTGGAACTTACCCATGAGTTTTACAAGGTTGTACATCTTTACAGAGCAGGCTGCCACAGCTTTCTCCTGTGGGTTTGTGGGTGGTGGGTCCAAATCACTAACCTTCCGGTAAGCAGCCAAATACTTAACCATTATGCTACCAGGACTAATTTTTCAATAACAGCAACAACCAGAATCTATATATATGTAGTAAGTATACATAGATGCCTGTGTGTGTGTATTATAAAGCTTACAGAAACTCAGACTATCCAATCACCTCACAGGATTCATTTTCTTGCTTTAAAGACTTGGGGTCTTAGTTTCATGAGACAACTTAGTCATTTGGCAAATAAAATTTTCTTATTCATATAATAAGGAGCTCTGGTAGTGTCGTGGTTACGAATTGGGCTGTGAACTGCAAGGTCAGTAGTTCGAACCTACCAGCTGTTCCGTGGGAGTTAGATGAGGCTTTCGGCTCTCGTAAAGATTTACAGCCTCAGAAACCCTGTACAGGGTCACAATGAGTCGGAACCGACTCCACAGCACATAACCACCACCACCATTCATATAATGGATTTCTAAAAGGTTTTTTTTTTATCTTTCTTTAATTGTATAGTTGCCCAAAGGTATATCCTTTTTTCCTATTTATTAGTTATTCTAAAGAATTTTACATACTTTCAATGTTCTATATTTTAGAAAGATGGGGAAGTTTCCAGTAAGGGTGTGAATGAAAAAAATGGTGAACTATTGCTCTGATTCATGTATTGAAAACATAGGCTTTACTATATTTTCACAGTACTGTTTGTATTACCAGGTTGAGAATATTTCTAAGGTGGTGTTTTGATGATAAAAAAAATAGGCACAGCTTCTACCCATGAAGGGGAATCCTAAGTTTTCAGTTTTACAAAGGTTGTATGAATTAGAAAAGGCATATACGGTTTTGTCAATTAGTAAACTGGAATTCTGAACAATAAAAAAAGCCTTCCTTTCCAGTTATAATGTATAGTATCCTTTTATACATATAAGTGACCATTTTATTATATGATCTTGGGCATGTTTACCTGGGTTTTCTTAAAATAAAGCAGGCCCATATTTTCTTGACCTTTCCCCCGACCCCTTGGAGAATGCCTTTTCCAAGGGTTATAACACCATATCCTGCAACATAGCTATTTCATTTGAATGGTTTACAGTTACGAGAATAAAATCCACTATAAAGCTAAAAAATAAAGGTAAATAAAAACCAACTCCACAAGAAAATAAGCATTACCAGCATACTTGAAGCAAAAATTTTAATCTAGGAAAAAAAGTTAAGTAATCCATTTCTCTTATGTTTGAATCAACATTACCATGTGAAGCATTTTTCGAAAATTTAGTGTGAAATACTTTTGTTTTGCTGTAAGTTGGAATCGACTTAGTACTGATGGATTTTGTTTGGTTTACTAGTGGTTTATGGATATTGTATGGTCATTTTATTTAATTCTCCAATAAGGGCTAATTAATTGAAATTTCTAGGCAAAAAGAAATTTGAAACTTTTTATTGTGAGTTATATAAAGGAAGATTTATAGGGAAGATCATTAGTTTTACATTCAACAAGTCATACACTACTTTGTTTAATCTCAGTGGATACAATTTCTCCATGTAACAAGTTGCCCCTCCCTCCTGAGGTTTTTATTGCTATTCTGCCCTCCTTCCCATCCTTTCTCAACTTGGTCCTCAGGCAAATGTTGCCCTTGTGATCTTGAATAGTTGACTATACCTTACTAGTGTTGCTGTCCTGCCATATACCTGTCTACTGCTTAGTTGAAAATAAGATCATGAGGGTAAATTCCAGTCCAGACGTGATGGATGGTTGAGGGCCATAGTCTTGAGTTCTTCCGTCTCTTTCTGACCAGTAAACTAATCTTTGGTTTTTGTAATTTTGAGCTTTGTACCATGTTTTCTCCCACCTTAGCTAGGACCTTCTAATGGGATCCCTTTCAGAACAGTTGGTAGTAGTAACCAGGCACCATCTAGTTCTTCTGGTTGGGAGGTTGTGATGACTGGTGTTCACATGTTGCATTGGTCCATTGGGCTAGCTGATTCCAAGTATTTTCTGTTTTCATCACTCTTCTTTCTTCAACACAAGGAGAGACCAATAGTTCTTGGCGAAAATCTGTGATAGAGGCACAGTTTCACTAGGCTCCACCTGACCCCTGGGTACCTGATTTATTTCAGACACACCTCCCCTCCATTTGAGGCAGTTGGCATGTCCTGATCCAGCCCATCCCTACTGCCCGTTCTCCTTTTCCGTCACCTCATGGTGAGCTACCCAGACTTTTTCCGTCTGTCTTCACAAAGCACTTAAAAAATCCATTCCTTACCCTATAAGGTGGTTAAGTGGATGGTGATAAAGGAAAGGAAGAGCGCTAATAGGAAGGGGAGAAGTCAAGGGAAAAGACTAGGTCACCCCACATAGTATTTGAATGTGTGTCTTAGCAGTGGCTTTCCAGAGGCCGTGTCTCTAATCCAGAGCAGTGATTCTGAAAATGAAACTGTTAAATCAGGTGGGAGGAACAATGTGTGTGTGTGGTGGGGACATGATGGAAGACCTGCACAGAAGATCCCCTAAGATTTCCAAAGATATGGGTTGATTCTCTCTTCCTATTGGGTATGTCTGTGACTTTTGTTTATTGAAGGGGACTTTATTTTGAAAACTAACCCATATTGAGCTTCTCTTTTCAAGCACCAACCACACTTAAATTCTGAGAATAAAAGTCATTTCTTTAATATTAAAAAAAACTTTCTGAGCCTATTAAAATGACATGGATATGATTGCCTAGGCAATTTAATGGTGAATTAAAATAATAAAAATCTTGATGATTAGTGTCAAGGACACTACTTTACTTTTTGAATTTAAACCAACAGTATATAATTTGGTTAGTTTTATTTGAATTGTGCAAAATAGCTGTTTGGTTTCAGTGAAGAAAAAAACTAAATAAAATATGTTAAGATGTCTTGCTAAATCTACTAGCAGAGCATTTGTCTTGTTAACCAAGGATATACTGGCCCATGATTGTGGCTCTACAAATTAATTAAGACCATTTTCTCAAGTATCCCGAGACTGATGCTGATGCTCATGAACATGAGTGCACTTATCTGTAATGATGGTGGGGCTGCATCCGGGCAAGGACTGTGCTTTCAGAGAAGTAGCACAGGACACGAGAGAGACCTGTGACTTTGGATTTCAGTACCAGCTCTGTAGTTTACTGCTTATGCAAACCTGGGCCTCAGACTTCTAATCCACAAAATGCACAGAATAGTGTCTTCTAGAAGGATTGTTATAAAAATGAAATAACTTAGGTAGTTTTCTAGCATGGTCTGTAACTAAATCTATGTTCTCTTCACCTGGTGGTGGTGGTGTTGCTGCCTTTATTTTCACTTCCCTTCTTTGGAAGCACACAGTAGAATTGGATCTAAACATGACGTTGTTAGACCCAACTCTATTGGACTGGATTCTGATTGATTTATTCCAACAAGATTCTGATTGATTTGATACCCTTATTGGTTGTAACACTCAGCTATCACTAAAGAAAAACATTGGAATAAAGAAAGCTATAGCCTGGTCCTTTTATTGTTTGTTTGTTTTCCCTTAAATGATAATGTTATTTTCCTAATAAAAGTTGTAGTAAGTTTCAGTGTGCTAGTTATCAAAATGCTAATTATTTGGAGACTTGTTTGAAAGATGTTTTTTTGTGTGTCTTTAGGACATTTTCCATTGTTCTTGTTTTGGATCTTTCAAAACCTAATGACCTTTGGCCTACCATGGAAAACCTGCTGCAAGTCACAAAAAGCCACATAGATAAAGTGATAATGAAACTGGGAAAGACGAACGCTAAAGCAGCTTCTGAAATGAGACAGAAGATTTGGAGTAATATGCAGAAGGATCATCCAGTGAGTGGCTGTTGGGATTATTCCTGGAATCCTAGCCCTACACGTAGTTAGTGATAACTTCACAAACAACTCTGTAGCGTTTCATGCATGACTTGAAATTCATTTGATGCAGATGAACCTGTTCACTGGAAAATTACAGCAATTTAATAAAACTTCAATAAGAGCAAAACAAGGAAGAAGATTTCTTATGTCTCCTTGTTAGACATCTACTATGATTGTTATGGCATATGACACCAATCAAAAGAGAAAGTTTTAAAGTAGTAGTTTGATATTGATTTTATAATTCTGTAAAATGAAGATACAAAACCCCCCCAAGCTGTACAAAAGTCACCTAGAGAAGATTAGAAGAAGGTACAGAGTTAAACAGAGTAGTCAGAACAAACAGCCTTCCCCATCACTCTGTACTGCACTTTCACTTAATGTCTGTCACATGTTCACCATCTGCTGATCTGACAACCAATTAGATGATAACGTTACAATGGTGGGACAAGTCCTTTAAACACGGTCACAAATATCATGCTAAGAGGAGCATTTTATACTGCCCAGAGTTTGTGTAAGTGTGTTTTACATAGGTGATGTTGGAGCAAAACACATAATGTTATTTCAATATAGGCAGTAGAAATGTTGTTGCAAATAGAAATTTTGTTACTACAAAATAGAAAAAACAACAACAACAACAACAGGCAAACGGCATGTTGTGTAAGAAAATAAAGGACAGAACAAGAGAAGCATAAATATCATAATAATTTAGGGAATTGCTGTTTCTACTGCTATACTTTAGAAATATATCTTGTTATTATTGTGTTGTTGTTGTTTAGTGCTGTCGAGTCGGTTCCGACTCACAGTGATCCTGTATAAGTTTTTCCATGGAGCAGCTAGCAGGTTTGAATTGCCAGCCTTGCCATTCAAACTGACCTTGCCGTCCAGTGCTTATCCTATGGTACCTTCAAGTCAGTTCTGACTCTTAGTGACCCTGTGAACAAGAGAATGAAACACTGCCCAGTCCTGTGCTATTTTATTATGTTTCAGCCCATTGTTGCTGCCACTTCCTTAATCCATCTTTCTGGGAATCTTCCTCTTTTTCGCTAACTCTCCTGGCGCTGTGGGTTAATGCGTCAGACTACAAAGCCATTTGAACTACAAGGTTAGCAGTTCAAGCTCACCAGCTGCTCCTCAGAAACCCTATACAGGGTCACTATGGGTCAGAATTGACTCGATGGCACTTAACAACAACAACTACTACTTTTCCAAGCATAATACCCTTCTCCAGGCATTGGTCTCTCCTGACAACATGTCCAAAGTATGGAGATAAAGTCTTGCCATCCTCAGTTCTATGGAGCATTCTGGCTGTACTTCTAAGACAAATTTGTTTGTTCTTCTGTAAGGCCATGGTACAGTATTCTTCTCCAGTACCACAATGCAAGTACATCAATTCTCTGGTCTTCCTTATTCATTGCTCAACTTTTACATGAGTATGAAGCAACTAAAAGCATTATGGCTTGGATTAGATGCAACTTAGTCCTAAAAGTGACATCTTTACTCTTGAATTCTTTAAATAGGTCTTTGGCAAAAGAATTGCCTAACACAAAACATCACTTGATTTTACATTTTAAGAAGAGAAAATTAAATATGGCACAAAATCTTAATCACGAAAACAAAGTCAACATCTATAAAGCAACTAAAATGATAAATATTAGGAAGTAAATAGAAATTGCTGAGCATACTTAACACAGTAAATAGTTTTACTAACTTCCATGAAATATGTTTGTTAACAGGATCGTGAATTGATTGACCCATTTCCAATACCCCTGGTTATAATCGGAAGTAAATACGATATTTTCCAGGTAAACTCTTAGTTCTTCTACTTACAGTTATGTTTGTTATATGTACATGTCTCTGCTTTATTGGTTAGGAGCAAAAGTAATGATGAAATAAGGAAAATGATTCTGGAATGAATAGGCCAAGAAGTTGAAGTCACACATATTACAGAATTTGGAAAGTAGAGTATAGTTAGGAATGAGAAAAAAAAGGTTAAGAACCATAAAAGCAGTGGTTAGATTGATGATAAAGATTTAGAATGAATTATTAACCCAGCCACAGAGGGACAGGATGTATTCCCCAACTTTTAAATTGAACAAAGTAGAAAATTAATTTCCTTTATCTTCGCTCATCAGAAAATCCTTAGCGCATTCTGCACTATAAAATGTGTGCTTATATCTAAATTCTGTTAAGTGTTTAAACAAAGTAAATATGATAGCTGTAGCTGTAGAATGCTGAAGCTGTTGTTCAGTTCTCCTTAGAAACAAACATCAAGGTAATGGAATCCTGCTCCTCAGACTGTGTTTCAGAAACATAAGAAATATTCTATTTTTACATTTAATAATTTACAGCTTACTACAGATATTTAGTTTTTTCTTTTTGATAACGTTTTTCAGGATTTTGACTCTGAGAAGAGAAAGGTAATATGCAAAACACTTCGATTCGTCGCACATTATTACGGAGCATCGTTAATGGTTTGTACGGTTCCTCTCTTTTGGTTTGAATGAACAGTACTACTTTTGGAAAAAGTAGCAGTTTATTGCACAGATATGAATGTCAGTGCTTTTGCTAAATGCATTGCCCTCTTCTTTTCTTTCCCACTTCCCAAAGACCATTTTCTTGTGAGTGTTTGACATTGTATTTATAGATGTTGGAGCAAAACTTTTAAACTGCTTAGATACATAAGCCCCTATTAATTTTAAAGAGATAAATTGTTATTGACTTATTTGTTGATGTCCCCTTAAGAATTAGAATATAAATTCCCTTAAAAGAACAGAAAAAAAAAAAAACTTAAACAATTCATATATTATTTCTTTTCAACTTACAATGCTGTTTGTTATAGAAATTAAAAGCATCCTGCCTGTGTTCAAATCTCAGGGCAACTCTCTAGATATGTGATTGGGCAGGTCACCTTATCACACATAGGCTCAGTTGCCTCAAAAATGAAAGAATGGAACTTATGGCAAGATGGTGGACAAGGCAGATGCGCTACACAGACTCTACTCACAGATACAGAAGATCAAATGAAACAGACACAGATGAAAATTTTGGAACCCTGGACTTAAGAGGAAAGGTTAGAGAAGTGGACTGAGAGCTTCCTGGGAAGAGAAGCTGAACAGAAACAATGAGAGAGGGAGACTGACTGGTGAACGGCTGGCCAGATGTGGAAGGACTGTCTTTAACTTTTGTGAGCAGCTTTGGCAACAGAAGGTGGCCTGGAAGAGCAGATTCACACAGGCATCAGGAAAGCAGTGATTCCTTCTTTCCCCCCATACTCCCTTGGTAACCAGAGATATGGCCAGCTCCCACCCATATCCGCCCCCCCTGTGAAGCCACATGATTGAGCCATGCCAATATGTGTGTGTGTTTGTGACAGATGACTTTGATGGGTGAATTCACACAGGCTCAGCTCCAGACCTACAGAACTTGCAGAACCACTGGACCAGCATTTGTCTAGCAGAAACCCTTATAACCAGCCACCTTGCCCCCAGCTGCCCTGTGGTCCTAACAGACACTGAAACCAGCTCCATCAAGGGCCTCCACAAACTACTTTCAGATTGAATACCGTGAACATAGATAACATCAAGGCCAATAGGAAATCCATCTAGGGCCAGGAGCTCCGCTATCACATCTCCCACACCCACTTCATGAACTTCTTGACTGACAGGAACCCATCCCCCCACCCCCAGAGTTTTCTCCTCTCTGGGTTTTTTGTTTGGGTATTTTTCCTTTTGTTGTTTCATTATTGTTTGTTTATTCTTTTTTTTTTCTTCTTCTCTTTCTAGTCCCTTGAAATTTATCCTTTCTACTTCTGCTTTTGTTTTTCCTTTACTTGTTTCTCATTTCCCCTCTTTCTTTCCCCTTTAGATCTTCCTTTAAGAGTCTACTCTCTTTCTCTCTTAATTTTCCTCCCCTTGGTTTTGCTCAATGTTTTCTTTATTTTCTCTCTTATTTGTCTCTTCTATAGGTCCATTTTCCTGTCTTTTCTCTTTTTAGTTATTATATGTATTTTTTTCTCTTTTCATTTTTGGTTGCTTGTTTGTTCATTCCATTTTGTTTTCTTGCATGTGTATGGTTGGGGGGGTGTGTGTGGTTCTCCTCTTTCCCATCTGAACAGAAGATAGAAACCATGTCTATACAGCACAGCCACAATCATACCCTCTGCAGCTCCACCTACTGGCCAAAAGTCAAGGCCAGCTCCAAGACCTAATCAACAATAGACAGCAACCAACAACAGCCAAACCTACCTAGACTGAGACTTGCAAATGACAAACAGAGAACAGTACACACACTTCCATTCTCTAATAATACCTACAGGAGAGCCTAAGAACACATCAACACAATCATCAATTAAATTCAAATGTAATAACACAACAATATTCTGGAGACAGCATACAATTTTAGCTCCCATGAGGAAACGAGAGAATTGCTCAAACAAACGACCAAGATGCAAAGCCAGGAAGTATTTCTGAGGAAGGTAATGGAACTAACTATAAAAAATTCAAAAGAATGATATTTTGGTACCTTCAAAGGACTGACAGAAATACCAAGGCAAGTAAAGGAAAAACAGAAAATGGTTCTAGAAGAATTCAGTAAAGCACTACAAGAACAAACAAAGTAAATGCAAATTTTGAAACAATACAAAACCTGCTATTAGAAATCCAGAAGATTAATATTTCATAAATGAACAATATATTGAAAAGAGTAGATTCAAAGCAATGGAAGCCCAAATTAGCTTGAAGATAAATTTCTGAATACTAGAAAAACAATCAGAAAAAATCCAAAGAAAGCTTAAGAGTTTATGTGGGACACAATGAAGAGGAACACCTTACAAGTTATTGGAATTCTAAAACAGAAAGAGAGACAGTAAAAAGCACAGAGAAATTATCAAAGACTTGTTGAAAGAAAATTTCTGTAATACCATGAAAGACTAAAAAATAAGCATACAAGAAACTGGTTGAACCCTAAGCAGGATAGTTCCCCAAAGAAAATTACCAAGACATATCATACTCAAACTTTCCAAAACTAAAGACAAGGAAAGAATCCTGGGAACAGCTAAGAAAAAAACTAAAAGGAGAACAAAAAGACTAAGCTCTGACTTCTCAGCAGAAACTATGCAGGCAGAAAGTCAATGGGATGACATATACAAAACTCTGAAAGAAAAAAATTACCAACCAAGACTCATATACCCAGGAAATTTGTCCCTCAAATACTACTGTGAAATTAGGACACTTCCAGATTAACAGAATTGAAAGAATGTATTAACCAGACCAGCTTTACAAAATATACTAAAGAGTGTTCCTTGGACTGAGAACCAACAACAGCAGGTGGCAACCTGAGATTACCATACATGATGACACCACTCAGAACTCAATCCAGGTACAGTAGTATTTAAAACAAACCTACAAGATAAACAAGGAATTAGTGTAGATACAGAACCTCCAAATGGTGAGAAAGTCAAGTAGATTAATACACCTTCTCATCAAAAGAAAAAAGAAAATCAGAAAGAATTAGTAAACATTAACACAACAAATTAAAATGACAATAAAACTCACAAACACAGTGAATTCAGTGCAGAAGATTAACCAGCAGCACCACAAAAAAAATAAAATAAAATAAACTATCTACAAGAGACACATTTTAACAGATATATGCACACCCTTGTTCATTACAGCACTATTTACAGTAGCAAAAAGATAAAGCCAGCTTAAATGCCCATCAACATAAGAATGGTAAAACAAACTTTGGTACACACACACAGTGGAATCCTATGCAAAGTTGAAGAACAAAGATGAATCTGTAAAACACATCTCAACATAGATGAACCTGGAGGACATTATGCTGAGTGAAATTATTCAATCACAAAAGGTTTTCTTGATAAAAGAAACATTTTATGATGGCTACCTGGAGGGTGCCATTTATTCACAGGATAGAGGATAGACACATGTTAACATGGGTGATGGGGCAGGCAATATACAACAAGAGGGAGATTGGCAGAGAAAAGATGAAGGTAGCAGGAGATACAGGTAGGAATGTAAGAGTTAAAGTGAATAGCGGTAAGTACTGTTAATTGATGGTACATAGAGGGGATTACAATCATTGTAATAATGCAAAGTATATGATTTGTTGGTTGAAAATCTGATGATCTGCTATGTAAACCTTCACTCAGTTCACAATAAAAAGGTTTTTTTAAAAAAAAGAAAAATATGTAGCAGTTTAAGATTGTGATCCTAGCCCTGGAAAAAGAGTGGGATCGATGAGAGAATACGGATGTCACTGAAATGTACATGTCAACACTGTTGAGTTGGCAGAAGTTTTTGTCTTTAATGTTTTTACCACAATAACTTTTTTTTTAGGGTTTTTATTGTGGATTGAGTAAAAGATTACAGGGCA